CATGGGCACTGGTTCTAATTCCGGCAGTCCTGCTTCCCACCCAGCTCCCTGCTTGTGGCCTGGGAAAGCAGTCGAGGAAGGCCAAAAGCCTTGGGACCCTGTACCCGTGTGGGAGACCTTGATGAGCTCCTGGCTCCTGGCTTCGGATTGGTTCAGCTCTGGCCATTGCAGTCACTTGGAGAGTGAGCCATCAGACAGATCTTCCTCTCTGTCTCTCCTCCTCTTTGTATATCCATCTTTCCAATAAAAAAGTAAATAAATCTTAAAAAAAAAAAAAGAGAATATAACAGGTAACTTATAGATAACAGACTCGAATCAGCATTAGACAGTAGCAAAACTATAAAGACATACGGGGGGATCAAGAGCGATCCTGATAACCTCTTAACAGGTGGTAATATGTGCAGAGCAGGTGGACAGGAGGAGGCTTGTATCCCAACCCTGGAGACTCCCGGATCCTCACCAAGGACTATCAGTACGGGCACCAAGGGCTACATCCCAACAGCCAAGGAGACCATGGGGAATTGGAGTACCTTTGGAGGCCGAGAACTCTGAGGTCATCCACTCCATTTTGGATCACCTACATAGGATGGAAGAAGCCCAAATCCTTCCTCACAGGATCTAATGTTATCGGACAACAGCCAGGAGCCCTGAGCAGTCCGCAGAAACAAGAACAGTAAACTTCCTTCAGGACTAAGGAGAGAAGCTTTCTCTGGTCCTTACTTATTTCCAACTTTGGATCCCCACCCTCTCTTGCAATGACCATCAGGGTCACTCCGGAGCACCACCCCCCCCTCCCAAAAAAAAATTAGATTAGATAGAGACCAATAAGCAAAGCTTAGAACCAGACAGGAAACGGTCAGTGTGGACTCACACATACCTTACTAGGTAGGACACAAAGATTAGTTACTCCTCACTAAACTATTAAAGATTTCTCTGCACACCCCCCTAAAACTGTTCTGCGCCTCAACTGTTGACATATGCCTTGTTAGAGTTATAAGCCAGTTTGGACTAGCCTAAAATGTGCCAAGTTCAGTAAAAATAATGCTTCAATACTATAAACTGATAAATATAAAAATGAAAGTAGACATGAGACAGCTGAATAGTACCCTATAGCCATTTTAAGGTGCATAGAAGCCGGTAGTATATAAACTAAAACTGAAATGTCAATGAAACAGTCACAGGATGTGAATAAGAACTTGCACTTTCTAACATATTGGTCACTCAATACCATGTCAATTAATTCCATAGTGTTGCAAATTGATGTGGACGTTTTGTTGTGGGTTTTCACTGGACGGGATGATATTCTGCCAGCTCTGCTTTCAGACCAGGGATGGTCTCCCAATGAAACTGCTGAATTTATCTGGGCAATAAGATGCTGGACTCTATGCATTGTACATGCTTGCAATGAAGCAATCATGACTGGATTTGAACTGTAATACTGCAACAAGGTGGAGGAACCCACCATGGGAGGAGGGGAAAGGGAGGGGTTGGAGAATCCCAGAGACTATGAAATTGTATCATAAAATGAAATGAAATAAAATAAGAAAAAGTAATGTGGTATACTTAAATAAGAGACTGACAGAATTATGATTCCTTATAAAGAACTGCACTATTGTAACAAAATGGAAATAATCTGATGGGGGTGGGAGTTTGGGGGGAATCCCAGCCTATATGAAATTGTACCACGCAATTCAAAATTCAAAATAAAAATATATTAAAACAAAAAAATAAATTTATTATGGATGCAAAAAAAATTTACTTTTTTATTGGAAAGGTGCATATACAGAGAGGAGGGATTAGAACCAGTGCCCATATGAGATCCTGGCACGCTCAAGGCGAGGACTATTATGCTATTGTGCCAGGCCCAAGGCTGTTGTTCTAACTCATACCAGTTGTTGACCTTGTTACATCATGGCTTCTCAATTATGGAAGTGTATAATGATGGAGTACTGGGGTCTACCATATCCAGATGTGGGGCTATAATGCAGCATGCATTCCTGGTTCCGGACGAAAGATGGATTCCCAGTGAGACTGCTGGACAAGTGTAGACAATGGGATGCTGGACTGTCTGACTTTGTCTGTACCAGCAATGTTGGGGTATACTTAAATAAGAGACTAATGGAATTATGATTCCTTATGAAGGATTATACCACTGTAGTAAAATGGGGAAAATCTGTCAGGGGGTTGGGAGTTTGGAAGGAAATCCCAGTCTATACAAAATTGTACTACATCATTCAAAAATTCAAAATATATATATATATATATTTATATATATATATATAAATGAAATCTAGGAGCAACGTGAAAGTATTTTTCAAAAACCATTTGTAACTGTATAACCATGTGCCACCAAGTTCATCTATTTCAACTAATAAACTTCAATCAGAATGCAAGCTCCTTCAGAGTGATGGTTGGCTTCTATCCACAGATCCTAACAGAAACATACTCAAGAACATATTCCTAGTGGCAATGAAAGATAAAAACTTATTTTGTTCAGACCCAAAAGTAATTTTGAAGTCTTAAAAATATTTGATCTTTGCAATCACCCCAAATGACATGGAATCCTGCACACACAGCCTTCTGTTGGAATTCAGAAGTGTAAAAAGCAACTTAAGCCAACAACAAATACTCAAATAGGGCACAAAACTTCTGACCACCCAAGAATATAAACTTGTAAAAAAGATGCATACGGGCCCGGCGTGATGGTGCAGTGGTTGGGGTCCTCACCTTGAACGTCCAGGATCCCATATGGGCGCCAGTTCTAATCCCGGTAGCCCCGCTTCCCATCCAGCTCCCTGCCTGTGGCCCGGGAAAGAAGTGGAGGACTGCCCAAGGCTTTGGGACCCTGCACCCACGTGGGAGACCCGGAAGAGGCTCCTGGCTTCAGATCGGCATAGCATCGGCCGTTGCGCTCACTTGGGGAGTGAATCATCGGACGGAGGATCTTCCTCTGTCTCTCCTCTCTGTATATCTGCCTTTCCAATAAAAATAAATCTTAAAAAAAAAGATGCATACACAATTCTTGAAAAAACATATTTTAAAAGTGATAATCAAGATTTACTTAAGAGTCTCAAAACAATGGCCCAGTGGCTAAATCCTCATGTTGAAGGCACTGGGATCCCAAATGAGCACCAATTCTAAGCCTGGCTACTCCACTTCCCACCCAGCTCCCTGTTTGTAGCCTGAGAAAACAGTAGAGAATGGCCCAAAGCCATGGGAAACAGAGGCTCCTGGCTCCTGGCTTCAGATTGGCTCAGCTCCATCCATTGCAGCCAATGGGGAGTGAACTGCAGATGGAAGTTCTCTGTTTCTCCTAATCTGCAAATCTGCCTTTTCAATGCACATAAATTATTTAAGAGTGGGAGTGCTGGGGCTATTGCCATGGCTACATAGGCTAATCCTCCACATTGAAGTGCTGGCATCCCAAATGGGCACCAATTTGTATCCCGGATGCTCCACTACCAATTTAGCTCCCTGTTTATAGCCTGGGAAAGCAGCAGAGGATAACCCAAGTCCTTAGGACACGATACCCATGTGAGAGACCAGGAAGAACCTCCTGGCTTCTGATTGGCTCAGCTCTAGCCGTTGTGGCCATGTGGAGAGCAAACCAGCAGATAGACAATCTTTCCCTCTGTCTCTTCAATTCTGTAGTGCTAGTTGTGTTCATTGTAGAACTGGTGATATTTCCTCAAGTTCCAGGACCTTAAGAAAAACTACAGTCCGGGCTGGCACTATGTGTATCAGATAAAGCCACTGCTTACAGTACAAACATCCCATATGGACACCAGCATCCTGGATGCTCTACTTCGGGTCCAGTTTTCTGCTAAAGCCCTGGAAAAGCAGAGGAAGATGGGCTAGGGCCTTTTGTCTGCACCAACATGGGAGACTTGAAAGAAGCTCCTAGCTCCTGGTTTTGGACCAGTCCAGTTCTACCAACTGTGGCCAATTGGAGAGTGAACCAATCTCTAACTCTGCCTTTCAAAAAACAATAAATGTCTTTTAAAAAAAGGAACCAAGATCATTTTACAAAACCATAACGTGAGACAAAATCTTGGGCCCAACATAATACCATAGCAGCTCAAGTCCTTGCCTTGCACATGCCAGGATCCCACATGAATATCAGTTCATGTCCCACTGCTCCCATTTCCCATCCAGCTTCCTGCTTGTGGCCTGGGAAAGCAGTCGAGGTCGGCCCAAAGCCTTGGGACCCAGCACCTGTGTGGGATACCTGGAAGAAGCTCCTGGCTCCTAGTTTTGGATCAGCTCAGCTCCAGCCATTGTGGTCACTTGGGGAGTGAATCAATGGACAGAAAATCTTCCTCTCTGTCTCTTCCGCTCTCTGTATATATGACTTTCCAATAAAAATAAATATATATTTTTTAAAAATCTTAGTGTTAACTCCCTTTTTATAAGCACATTTTACAGTCATCATATTAATAAGTCTATTTATAGATTAATTATTGTTTAGGGCATGGTTGTCCTTAACCCTAATGTTCCCTGACTTTTTTTTTTAATTTATTTTATCGGAAAGTCAACAGAGAGGAAGAGAGACAAAGTAAAGATCTTCCATCTGCTGATTCACTCCCCAAGTGGCCGCAACAGCTGGAGCCGAGCTGATCTGAAGCCAGGAGCCTCCTCCAGGTCGCCCATGCAGGTGTAGTCCCAAGGGCTTGGGTCATCATTGATTGCGCTCCCAGGCCAGAAGCAGGGAGCTTGTGCCCATATGCAAGGCGAGGATTTTAGCCACTAGGCTACCACACTGGGCCCACTTCCTTGATATTAATTCATTCACCCACTCATTTAGCATTTATTATCTGCTACAGAACAAGCCCTTGGCTATGTGGGAAATGATACAGTTCTTTGCCGTAAAGACATGTGAGCACATTCTACCACTGACTTTGGATTAATGCTGCTGCTCTACCGACTTGTGATCCTAAGCAATATTCTGGGTCTAGTGGATATGATGTATTTTTCTTCCAGATTCAAAAACCACCACTGCATCTTTTGCTCTGAACTTTATTTGGCAAAGCAGCACTGCATAAACTGTGCAGTGACAAGGACACGGTTTATACAGCATGTTAGATTCATATACATTACCAGCAGCAAATTAGAAACACAGAAAACAATACTAAGCTTCAAATCTCCTATTATTTTTACAGAGAGGAAAAGAACCATGTCAGTTATGTCCAATCTGAACAGCTCAGTGATTAACAGGACATCACCTGCCATCTGGAGTTTCGATATTTACAAATGCCTAAAGTGACAAAGCAGCTGACTGTATCTACAACATGCTATTCTATGACACCACATCAAAAGCTTTAAAAAGAAAGCTCATCTCTATGTTCTTAGTAGCATCTAACAGACATCCAAATACCAAGAATCTTAACTGGTAAATGGTGGTGTTATCTGATACACAGAAGAAATTTGATAAATTAACATCAGAACAGAATTAAGTGTTCAAGAAAAGGAAAAACACGCCTTAAACTCAATCATTAACTAAATTTTCCATTTTGCAGGACCCTTCTTTTTCTGTTTTAAAGTAAACTTGTGGCATGTGAAAGAAGTCACACACACAGTCTTACTCTGCAGCCTTCCTCTAGCAGTTGGGCTCCGTGCCTCTTTGAAGAATTAGCAAACCCTACAAAACCACACATTTTCATGCCGAAAATAAGGTGTGACAAAGTCCAAAACAAGCTGTGATGCTGTTGGTTTTCAAGAAGCTTTGAGGACTGAGATGAGCAATCCACAAATAGTCTAGGCTCGTCAAGCTGATGCTCTTACAATTCATCCCTGGGGGAGAAAGAGAGAAATGTGTGAGTAAAGCTTACACGCTGCAAATCTTGGCTAAGAACTTAGGTATAAATCCAAGTCAGCAAAGATGCACCAAGCCCCAGCATGGTACTAAAGACAAAAAATGAAAAGCAAGCAATCCCATGGCAAAGCAAAGGTGGAAGCCAGTCACTCTGCACATCCTTCCTGCTACTCCCAAATAAGTAATAAAACCTTGTGGACCTGGGTTGTTTACTTTTTATTGCTAAAGAAAAAGAATTTGTACATGCAAGAACATGTTGAGCATAGAGTTTAAATGACATTTACTAGTACAGTCACAAAACTGGACAAAATTTCTTTTCCTCAGAGAATCTGTTAGCTTCTCTGAGTGGGGCAATCTCAACATAAAGTATCAGGGAGAAATTCATCAGTCCTCCTTCTACCCATGGCTAAGCTCAAAGGCAGCACTGACAACTCCAGAAGGAACCCTGCGCTGGGCCGTGCGTCACTGCACCAGGTCATGCAGCACTGTACAAAGCCATGCGCTGGGCCATGCAACATTGTACTTGGCCACATACTGGGCCAGTGCGGCACAGCACAAAGTCATGTGCTAGGCCGTGTGGCACTGAACCAAGACAATTTCATATGATATTTCAATTACACCTCAATGATGGCATAAGAGTGAAAAAAAAAAAAAAACACAACTGAAGATGAGTGCAAGAAAAGCCTACGCCCCTCACACCTGAGCGCAGTTTGAACGACAGAGACATCAGACATTCAACTGCTGTGTGGATAAAGAAGCATGTCTGCACTTAAAACATCAACTGTACATCTACACAGAGCAGGAGAACGCTAATAACTAATGGCCCTGGAGGAAAACATTTAACAATTCTTTGTACTAGTATAGCAAGAATTCTCTAATAAATTTTTTGGAAAAGTTATTAAATTCGAAGGGAAGGTAAAATCAAGAGATTTATTTTATAACCAAGTGGTGATTCAAACAATTCCCAGATAATCTGCTTTTTAAAAAATAAACTTTAGAAATTAGGCAAGAAAAAGTTTTAAAAATTGCTTTTCCCACAAATTGCTTTATCCTATTGCACTGGATTATCTTTCAGGTAATAGAGTACCAGTTCTGATGCCAGCTGGTATGTTCATCTTAAGGACTGGCTTATAACTCTCATAGCACAGCTTTTGCTTAAATTCATGCAAACATTAAATATCCAGTCCACAAAGAATTTAACTGCAAAATGCTCTATCCATAAACTAAAACAAACAACTTTCATGTTACACAGTTTTTCCTGATGATCACAATTCTTTTTTTTTTTTTTAAGATTTATTTATCTTTATTACAAAGTCAGATTTACAGAGAGGAGGAGAGACAGAGGAAGATCCTCCGCCCGATGATTCACTCCCGAAGTGACCACAACGGCCGGCACTGTGCCGATCCGAAGCCAGGAGGCAGGAGCTCATCAAGGTCTCACACACGGGTGCAGGGTCCCAAAGCCTTGGGCCGTCCTCGACTGCTTTCCCAGGCCACAAGCAGGGAGCTGGATGGAAAGTGGAGCTGCCGGGATTAGAACCGGCATCCACATGGTGCCTTCAAGGCGAGGACTTTAGCTGCTAGGCCACTGCGCTAGGCCCCTGATGTTCACAATTCTTTTTTTTTAAAGATTTATTTTTTATTATTTTTTATTGGAAAGGCGGATATACAGAGAGGAGAGACAGAGAGGAAGATCTTCCATCCGATGATTCACTCCCCAAGTGAGCCGCAACGGGCCGATACTATGCCGATCCGAAGCTAGGAGCCTCTTCCGGGTCTCCCACACGGGTGCAGGGTCCCAAAGCTTTGGGCCGTCCTCAACTGCTTTCCCAGGCCACAGGCAGGGAGCTGGAAGGGAAGCGGGGCTGCCGGGATTAGAACCGGCGCCCATATGGGATCCCGGGCGTGCAAGGCGAGGACTTAACCACTTGCGCCACCGCGCCGGGCCCCTGATGTTCACAATTCTTAACGATGTTTCTTATCTGTCTTTCATGAATAGATTATTAAAAAACAGTATCTGGTTTTTAAAAAGGTTCTTGAAAACATGTATAAGTATGTACTAAATATAGTCATTATGATAATAACTATGTAAATGTTTATTAGGTTTTATATAGTATAATTTTACATAATACAATTTGCTTATTAGGTTTTAATAATGCCATGCTATTAACATTTAGCCTAATATATCCTTATACAAAAACAAATGCAAAATTCCTAGCAGGAAGCAACAATCAAATTCATAAATATTTTCTAATAAGTTAGTGAGATTTTTTTAAAGCAGGCATTTTTCTTTCTATTTTGAAAGATTTATTTAATTTCCATTGCAAAGTCAGATATACAGAGAAGGAGAGACAGAGAGGAAGAGCTTCCACCCGATGATTCACTCCCCAAGTGGCTATAATGGCCGGTGCTGCGCTGATCTGAAGCCAGGAGCCAGGAGCTCTTCCAGGTCTCCACACAGGTGCAGGGTCCCAAGGCTTTAGGCCGTCCTCGACTGCTTTCCCAGGCCATAAACAGGGAGCTGAATGGGAAGCAGGGCTGCCGGGATTAGAACTGGCAACCATATGCAATCCTGGCACAGACAATGCGAGGACTTTAGCCACTAGGTTGCCATGTTGGGCCCAGTTAGTGCGTTTTTGAGGTTTAAAAAAAAAAAAGGCTTTATGTAGTTTGATAAAATATTGAGAGGCATAAAAAGAAATGTAAAAGGGACAATTCAGAATATGAAATGTAGGATCAGCTGGATTCTCTGGGGGCTACATTCTAAATGTAGAAATGCACAATTCATTCATAACATCTTCTTTTTCTTGTATGAAGGCATACCACCTAAGGAATAAATTAATATGAAGAGCTTAAAATATGAGAAACCCTGGCTGCTGTGGTCACTTGAGGAGTGAATTATCTGACAGAAGATCTTCCTCTCTGTCTCTTTTCCTCTCTATATATCTGACTTTGCAATAAAAATAAAAACAAATCTTTACAAAAAAAAAAAAAAAAAAAAAAACGAGAACCCTGAAACATTCCTGCTCTACAAACTAGGGAGCGACCTTGTTGCATTAATTCTTGTGGCTATTAAGAGCAAGAAAAGGGCCGGGTGGCATGGCCTAGCAGCTAAAGTCCTCACCTTGAACGCGCTGGATCCCATACGGGCACTGGTTCTAATCCCAGCAGCTCCACTTCCCATCCAGCTCCCTGCTTGTGGCCTGGGAAAGCAGTCCAGGATGGCCTAAAGCCTTGGGACCCTGCACCCGTGCGGGATAACCCAGAAGAAAGTCCTGGATCCTGGCTTCGGATCGGCACAGTGTCCGCCATTGTGCTCACTTGGGGAGTGAATCATCGGACGGAAGATCTTCCTCTCTGTCTCTCCTCCTTTCTGTATATCTGACTTTCCAATAAAAAAGAAGAGCAAGAAAAAAGCAAAGCCTTTGCTAGATTAGCAAAAAGTTAGACACATATGTAAATACTTATTTAAAATGAAATACCCAGTCTAATTGTGCTCCTTCACAACCTGCTCCCGCCAGCACAGCCAGAGCCCCTTTCTCACAGCAGCTGGATCAGTTCACAGCTTCAGTCACACTCCATTCCTGCTGCGAGTCTAAACTCCCTGCGCTCCGAGCGGCTGCCTGCCATGGTCTGTCTGGTTCTCTGACCCGACTACGCTCCCTGTGAGAACAGTCAGTTTCAAGTTCCAAACTGAAGATTCCTGGCGCCAGGACTGCCTGGCAGAGTGGGCACACAAACACTTGCGGAGTTGATGCATGATATCAAGGTCTTCAACACCGACAAACAGCTAACAGAACCAACTGCCGGAGAAAAGTAGGGCATGCCACTTTTCCACAGGCAATTTCTTTTTCTTGTCAAGGACAACTTAAGCATAGATTAGCCTAAAGGGGATAGAATACCGGGCACATAAAACTAGCGATCTATTCAAATACATTCTAGACCTAAATTTTAAAACCCCATATCTACTAGGGAAGAGGAAGCAGGGTAACTGAGAACTGGTTTCAGCCCACAAGCAGCACCTGAAGGCTGAGCCACGTGCCATGCTGGTAACAGTGAGGGCATGCCCAGGTGACTGCACAGTTGGACGTGACCTCCTCTGTCAGGACCTCCTTTCCCAGCCCTCCCGTGCCCTGGGCTTCCTGTCCTGGCTCTCAATGAGTTCTAGTAACATTGTGTCCCCTTCCCTGCTAGGCATAAACGGTAAAAGCTCCCAGCTGTTCCCCTGGCTATGGCTGGTCCCCAGATAAGTCACCATCCTTTACTGTTTCCCAAAAGCTTTCCCATTTTCCTGAGAAGACCTTCATTAAAGCCCTTGAAAACTCTTAAGTGCGATCCTTCCATACAATCATGTGAAGGCATAACCATATCAGAAACAAAGCCAAGGAAAGTCATTTATCAGCTGTCAGTAACTACAGCTGATTCTAGCTGGCAAGCCCAATAGCTTTTCGCATGATCTCTTAAAGCAGTGTGTATGCTCCAGACTAAAATTCAAGGAAAAGAACTATAATAATATTAGGTGAGAAATGAATGCAATGCCTAATCAGATTCTTAGAAAAGTCAGTCTGAATTTAGTAAAGTAAAATATAACTGTGAACAAACTACGGTCCATTACCATTTTTATAACTAAGCATTTACTCAAAAAGTACTTTTCCCCTTTCCAGAAAACAAAATTGAGAAGTTTATTAAACTTATAATCACCATTTACTTATTAAGAAAATAATCGTCTTAAAATATTGCTCCTGATGCCAAATGAAAACAGATTCCAGGACAAGGAAACTATAAAGCCTTTTTGACTCTGGTGTCTACCTTCAAATGAGTCTCAACCTGGCTAACGGCACCTGAATATACTGATGTCACTGCCTTCTAATCAAAGCGAGTGGGAGCCGAGGAGGAGAGAGGAACAGATGGGGCTTGAGACGAAGCTGACATTATGATGACAAAACAATGAGCATCACATTTAGGGTACCCCATGCTGTGAAGAGGCCAAGGCATGCTCTTAGCCCTCTGGGTGGGCTGGTGAGACCTGGGCACTCATTGGCTAGCTTAGAGAATTGCCAAGTTTCTTAGAACTTAGTGAGAATAGCTTGAAACTTGGCTGGCCTATTCTACAGAATGGAGAGGAGACAGCTGCCTTTAAAACAGGCACAGATCTATCAGACATCCATGAATCTGACTGAAAAACAGAAAACAAGATAGAATGTCCTCTGGGTTCCTGACATTTTTAAAGTGGGACAACTGGGCCAGGCGTGATAGCGTAGTGGCTAAAGTACTTGCCTTGAACGCACCGGATCCCATATGGATGCCGGTTCTAATCCCAGCAGCCCCACTTCCCAGCCAGTTCCCTGCCTGTGGCCTGGGAAAGCAGTCGAGGACAGCCCAAAGCTTTGGGACCCTGCACCCGTGTGGGAGACCTTGATGAGCTCCTGACTCCTGGCTTCAGACTGGCTCAGCTCTGGCCGTTATGGCCACTTGGGGAGTGTATCATCGGATGGAAGCTCTTCCTCTCTCTCTCCTCTCTGTATATCTGCCTTTCTAATAATAATAATAAGTGGAACAACTGATATTTTTCTCCTTGTAACAATGGCAGAATACGCTGAACCAGGCAGGACATTATGGCCCCTTTTCCAGACTGAAGCTTTTGTTTCCAGGCCAACAAAGCAGTTATGATAATGATTATACCTACAGGAACAGGGAGCTGGTAGTAAAACAAGCTTAGACAGCACTGAAAGTTTTTTTTTTAATATTTACTTTTTTTTAGTTGGAAAGTCAGATATACAGAGAGGAGGAGAGACAGAGAGGAAGAGCTTCCATCCGATGGTTCACTCCCCAAGTGACCACAACGGCTGGAGCTGAGTCAATCCGAAGCCAGGAGCCAGGAGCTCTTCGGGTCTCCCACGCGGGTGCAGGGTCCCAAAGCCTTGGGCTGTCCTCAACTGCTTTCCCAGGCCACAAGCAGGGAGCTGAATGGGAAGCAGGGCCACTGGGATTAGAACCGGTGCTCATATGGGATCCCGGGCGTGCAAGGTAAGGACTTTAACTGCTACGCTATCACACCGGGCTCCCAAACACTGAAAGTTTGTTAAGGAAGAAACTGCAAAAAAAATCCTTTGTGCCAACCAAATTTCACCCTCCCTTTCCCAAAAATATGAGCTACATTGTAAGACGGGGAGACCATGCAAAACGCTTCACATTCAATATGATGATTTTTGATGTTTCCATGACAGCATGAAGGTGGAACCAATACACAGTTCTTACAATCTAATATCTTAAAATTCACACCCTTTCACCTTGCATGTGTGGAAGAAAGAGCAGAAGATAAAATCACTTCCACCTGGACCACTGCTTTTCTTTATCTGTTAAAGGCACATATATCACCCCCATCAAAGGCTTCATTTTGACGCTTCCATCTTGTAGCTTATCGTACTGCTCCAACATCTGGTTTCCACCTGCAGGACCAACTGGCAATATCAATCTTCCACCAGGCTTTAACTGGTCTATTAGCTGGAGAAAAAGAAAAAACATCCCCAAAGTTAACATATTTTAGACCTAGTCAAATGCATAGTCATCATTGTACGGGCAGAAAGAAGACATGCAGTTAGTATACACAGGTGGCTTCAAAAAGTTCATGGAACCATGGAATGAAAAGATAGTTTCATTTTGCTGCAAAGTATTTTGAAATCCTTGCAATTATTTCACTATTAGATTTTTCACTATACTTTGTAAGCGCTCTTACATGGATTTTTTTTTTGTTACATGTTGGTCTGTCCTCCTTCTCTATTACAAGCTCCTGGAGGATGCAGACTATCTACTTCATCTCTATGCTTCTAGCATCTACATGGTACCCGGTACAACCGCAGTGCTGCGAATGTCTGAACTCATCACCTAATATAGAACAATCCTCTTGGGAAGGGCAAAGGCAAGGCAGAAAATTCTAATGCCCTCGTGCCAATTTTGACTCTTTTTGAGTTGGAATGACTAAAGTAGGCCAAGAGGACAAGTGCAGAAAATCGGTAAGAAATATCTCCTCTTACCGGCATCACTTAAGCAAAGGTAAGGATTCTTCAGCTGTGTAACACAATTTGGGAGTACTGGCAAGAGGAGTGACGCAGAATGCGAGTCTCTGCAGAATCACTGAGAACACTCCAACTTGCGAAGAATTAAGTCTGGCCAACAAAAACCTGTGCAGTTAGAAACTGCTGAAGTCATATGCTACCCTTTAAACATAGCTTTATGAGTCACTACTCATCAGTAAGGAGCTGGCTTTGGATAGCAGCACCCCAGGAAGGGTGTCCTCAATTAAAATGAGGTTTACCAGCTAGTCTATCTTATTTTTCCCATTTCACTTTTTCTCCAAGTAACAATTGCAAGTAGTTTTTTTTTTTTCTTGTAACTCTCCAGGTTTATAACAAAAAGCAGCAACTGCTTCCCCATCCCAATCTTGCTTCCCACATTAAGCCAATTAAAATTCTTTCAGCTGTGACATCTAATTACCTTAATATTATCAATTGTAAGGTAGATAAAGATTGAGCTTTCTCAAAAAAAAAAAAAAACCACCAATATATATTTATTTGAAAGGCAGAGTTACAAAAAGGGAAACAGAGGGAAAGAGTGAGTTTCCATATCCACTGGTTCACCTCCTACTGCCACAACAGTCAGGGTAGGCCAGGCCAAAACCTGGGGCCAGGAGCTTCCTCTGGGTCTCCCACATGGACACAGAGGCCAAAGCACTTGGGCCACCTTCTGCTGCTTTCCCAGACCCATTACTAGGGAGCTGGATGGGAAGCTGAGCAGCCAGGATTCCAATCCGGGCCCACAGGAGATGCTAATGTGGGAGGTGGGAGCTTTACTGACTATGCCATAGCCAGCCCCTGGACTGAGATCCTGTCAACACAGTCACAATTCCGCTTCCTTTCCTCAGTGCAGCCAATCATGTTTTTATTACAAACATTTTCAGTTAATGACTTCAAACATATTTTGCTGCTGAGTCAAGAGGTATTTAATGCTTACTTCTTTATACAACAATTTTCTTTCCCAGGCAGGTAAAATGTAAGACTTTTCTTTATTCATCACTTAATTCTTATGCTAAGTGTCTAATCTTTCCACCCTACTACAGCTTCTCAGTGAAATCTTCAATCAAATTCGTTTATCTAGTGTTTCCCCAACCTTCCCTCCTTCCCTCCCCTTCTTTTCTGTGTACTCCCTTCTTGTACCCTCTTCCTCTTGCTCCAAATCTGAGCTGGTTATTCTCCAGGCCTGCAATATTTACAGCGTTCAACCTGGGGCTTCCCACTGCAATAATCTTGGAAACTCCCATCACCTCTTCTTTAGCAAAATGCTGTATGTCCTAGACCCCATGGCTTTCCCTTTTTGCTTTTTCCTACTGTCTCCCCATCCTCAAATCCTCATTTTTTTTTTAAGGCATGGATTAAAAAAAAAAAAAAACTTAGTTGTCTAATCCTGAAAGACAACAATAGTTAGGCAGAGAGAGCTTCCACCTGCTACCTCACACTCCAAGTTCCTGCAATGGCCAGGTCTCCACTGGGCCAGGCCAAGCCGAAGCCAAGGACTTGAGTCTTCTTTCACTGAGTGTCAGGAACGCAATAGCCTGAGCCATGGCCTAGCCTCCCTGTGTCTACCTGAGCAGAAAGCTGGAGGCAGCGAGCTAGCTCAGGCACTCCCATGTGTAACACTGGTGTCTCAATTGGTGCCTTGACCAGCAGGCTAGCCACTCATCCCCAGCAAGGAATATCTGAAGAAAGAGAGTTCCGATTTGTAAATCTAAAGCTATCTGTATTCTATCTGCCCACAGAGTTTGAGGCTAGGACTCATTTTTAGGTCAGAATCCAGTCTGCTCCAAAGACTTGATTCCCATGCTGTTATTTCATAACCTGATGCAGTTGTGATTACCAAAAGAAATGACCTTTTTTTTTTTTTTGAGAGCTTTTAGAATCTTCTTGCTATCCCTAATATCCTAAAATTGCATGATAATATTGTAGCTATTTTTTGTTAACTAGAAGAATTCACGGTACCCAGTAGACCTATATAAGCTACAGAATTACATCGTTCAGTTTGGGACTATATTTTGCATAGGGCTAACTGTTCCTCACACGCCACCCTCTCTTTTAAGGCCCTGCTTCTCCTCCAATCCCTAAGCCATTTTGCAGTTCCACAGAGCAAAGCTTTCAGCACTGACACTCCTCTGTGCTGCTTTTGTTTCTGCTTTCTCTAGCCTCCAGCCATCAGCTACGGCCACACCTGCTTCCTGTTTAACTGAGAATGCAGTCTGTGCTCTGCTTTGTTGTTTGGAGGTGACATCCAAAAAGTGACATCAGCATCTTTACTTTGATATTTTAACTGCAAAGCCTTATGGATCAGCTATCTTAACAGTTCCTATAAGATGTATATAGACATATATAAATATAACACTTTCAAATCCTACAACATACAAGTTCATGTTGAGGTAACGTGACAAAGTCCTCAGACCACCTCAGGGTTTCCGTGGGAAAGTTGTGCCCCACACATCTACCCTCTTCCTAAGAAACATAAACTATTTCAGATTTGGACTGTTCACTCTAGGCTGCCAATATAAAAACAAACCAAAAAATTTAATTAATTAATTAAAAGTCCTGCAGCCATGGGTACATATATGCAAATTCACTGAGATGTTCATTCCTGACTTGTATGCCATTCTACTTTATTAATACTTCAATTAAAAGCTACTGCAGCCACAGGACTAGTCTCTCTTTTAAAAATTACAACTGAGACACAAAATAAGGCATTTTTCCCAAAGTCACTCATCCAATGGACCATAATTCAAAGACCAGAACAAACTCCCTAACTTTTACCTTCTCATAACTGATATGAACATACCAAAAACAACAACAAAAAACTTTTACGTTAGGTATAGATAAGACTAGGCTAAAGAAACTATCATTTTCACTTCCCGGTCATCTGATCAAGAAATAGGTAAAGTTCCTAGGTAAAGGAGACTTAACATTACAGTAAATTCATCCAGAGATTATTAAATATCAACACAACCTGACCAGCATTTTACAAAACAAAACAAACAAACAAAAAAATACTGTACCTTAAACATTTTCTTGACTATGTAATATCCATTTCGGTGACATCCTTCCTTGTCATTACTAAGTATGTAAAACCTCCTCTTCTCTAAGATACAGGCAATGTCTAGCCCTATATTAAGTTGCCTTGACTACTCATCGCAATAATCTGTCCTTGGTATACATATTTTCTTTTCCAGACAAATTATGTATCACGTACTAATTGCATGCTTTGAAATCATTAAATTCCCTCTTAATGTGTATGATGTATCTCTTCCAGAATACCACTTTTGTGAAAGTACAATGTATACATTTTTTTAGTATCTCCCATGCACCTAATATATCAAACCCATCTAGCTAATTATCAGGTCAAGAATTCCACAGGAAATTTCCCACTTCTATTGCTGTCTTAGTTCTTACTTGGATAGAATATGGCTTCAGATAACATAGCCATGTGCTGGAGTCAGTGATTTTTGTGTCACTTATATAATTATTTACACATTAAAAAAAAAAAGAGCCAGCTAACTATAGTCAAAACGCGAAACACAATTACATAATATCCTTCCAACATCTAGAAGTCAGTCCTATATAACTTTTAAAGTTTTAGTTGAAGGAAACACACAGAGAAAAAAATCCCAACTCACTGCCTGAGGCACGACTGGGGCTGCAGCTCCTACATGAATAGCATCATATGGGGCTTCTTCAGCATAGCCCATTCGCCCATCCCCCACTGGAAGAAAAAAAAGTTAGGCTTAAGAAATCTGTTCAGAGCAAAGAGTGGGAAGAATTACAGTACTAGAGATTTAAAATAGAGAAAAGACAGATTTTTCTGGGACAACTGCATATTCGTATGTTAAAAAAAGTAAAATTAAGCCTCTACCTCAAACATTCAAAAAATCAACATTAGGAAGATCAAAAACCTAAACAACTTGATGAGTCTAGGATCATCTTGAACAGGACACAGAAATTAATGGAAAAACACAGGAAGCCTAAATACATCTCAAATTAAGAATTTGTATTTATTAAAAAGTAATCAAAAGATGAAAACATAAGGGCTGGTAATGTGACTCAGTGGGTATAGCCTCCATCTGCAGTACTGGCACCCACTTAGGTCCCAGTTCATGTCCCAGCTCCACTTCCAATCCAGCTCCCTGCTCATGTACCTGGGAAAGCAATGGATGACAGCCCAAGTGCTTGGGGTCTGCACTTACTTGGGAGACCCAGAAGCAGCTTCTGGCTCCAGGCTTCAGACTGGCCCACCACTAACCATTTGAGAAGTAAATCAACAGAGTCAAGATCTCTCTGTCTGTCTCTGTAACTCTGCCTTGCAGTGAAATAAAATCTTAAGGGAAAAAAAAAGATGAAAATGGTACACAACAGACAGCAGAAGAGATATTAAGACTGTGTAGCCACCAAAAAGTTAGTCTCTACAGCTCCAAAAAGCAAAGAAAAACACAATCTAATATCTGAACAGGCACGTCAAAACAGGAAAGCCCAGTGGTCAAATCCATGAAAAAGTATGCAGCCTCACAGGTTAGAAAATACAACGCTAAAATCACAAAAATGTACATTGCTATCCACTCGCCAGGAGAACTGAGCCGCTGTTTTCCTGTCGCATTTTTTTTTCTCTTTTTACATTTTTATTGACTTTTCATTGACTTTACCCAAGTCACTCCTGTCGTATTCTTAAAAATGAATGGAACAGAAGACATTAAGGGAAAGAGAGAGGCCAAGAATATCATTATGTTTAGAACTTATCTACAAATCATATGGAATCTGTTAAAAACCAGCTGGGAATTACATTTTAAAAATTGTTTAAAAAGATATACATTCCTCATGAGTGGAGGGGAATGTACACCTCACTAATATTTCAAGATAGCCACTTCTTTTGTTTTTCTTGAGGGAACTTATTTAATAAAACTGTGGATGTGTGTTCATGATGTGTCTATAGCCGTATCAATTCTGTACTGCCCACTGAAATATTTCCATCCAAGTAGAAATGCTAATTTGTGTGCTGTGTGAATCTTCCATAGTCATTCAGTAAAATGATTTTAAATTTAAAAAAAAAAAGCAATAATTAGCTCTTAGTATTAGTTAGCTTGCATAGGATCCTCTAAAAATAGAAGTTTTTGTAGAGAAGTGTTCAAAGTTTGCTCATACTTACCAACCAGCTGCACTCTGCCGGAGGACAGAAGCGTTGGGTCATCCTTTCTGACGTTATTTATGGAGTCATCAACTAGCTCTTTAATGTGATCAATCCCTATTACTTTTCCACTACATCCCACCTGGAAAAAAAAATAATTCAACAACTCATTGAGGTAAATTCATTCTTCTCAAGTGTCATTTCTATTTAAAGCCTTATTCTCCAATGAGAAAGAAACAAAACAAAACAAACAAAAAAACAGCTTAAGCCTCCAATTAGATTGTTAAACAGTTTCTCATAATTAATTAATCATGCATAAGTATAATTCTCACCGGCCATTTCACCTATCCAAAGTAAATTTTAAACTAATCAAATGACTGCAACTAGAGTACTCTAATATTCTTAACCACTGGTTTGACAAAGCATAAACAATGATTTATAAAACTATTTACAACAGTACTCATACACACAAACATTTTTGCTTTCCCTTGTTTTTGTTCTTAGATTCTAGTTTTGAAACCAAGACTTTGGAGTAGGGTTTAACTGCCAATATTTGGCGGTGGGATCTGGTCAGTGATCAAGCTGGCACTTGGGATGCCTGAGTCTCTCACGTTGCAGTGCTTGGCTTGAGTCCTGGCGCCTCTGATTCCAAACAGCTTCCTGCTAATGAATATCTTGGGAGCCAGCAAAGGACAGTTCAAGTGCTTGAGTCCCTAACAATGGCTCAGCTACGTGGGTTCCTGCGACTTGTGTGGGACACCATTGGGGGCTCTGGGCTCCTGGCTTTGGCTGGGCCTAGCATAGATTGCCGTGAGCATTTCGAGAGTGAAGCAGCAGTTCAAAGACCTCTACGTCTCTCTGCCTTTCAAATGCAATGAAAACAAATTACTTTTTAAACTTTCCAGTATTTGATGGTAGTACAATAATTTTTAATTTAAAATTCCATCTAACCACTGAACCACCCAGAATGTACAAGATCCAGGGCTTGGAGAAGGCCTAGTAGGGAAATTGTGGGCTCTCCTGTGATGGGCTGCAGCTTCCAATGGTGATCATGGGAACCTTGGTTGGGGATGGGCCTAGCTGGACAGGCAGTGGCATCCACTGGCATGAGTGTGGGCTGGACAGTGGTGCTGGTCAGGCTGAGCTAGGCTACAACACTCAATGATGTATACAAGAGCCTAATGGGACATGGGACAGATTAGACCAGTCTACTGCACACACTGACATGTTCAAGAGCTGAGGCTGGAGGCTGGCCTGGTGAGAATTACTGGGGGTTACCCCAACTAGGCTGCAGTTCTTGGTGTGCGTGAGGATTGAGTGTGTGGTGGGCAGGAATGGACTGGGGACAGAACTGAACAGGTGACTGCAACCACCAGTGTGTATGTAAGCTAATATGGATGATAGACTGAGCCAGACCCCACACAGACTGGCATACATGGGAGTCAGGTCTGGGGTTCACCTCTGGTGAGGTTTCTTTGGGGACCCCCCAACTGGATCAATGGACTCAGAACTCCAACCATGGGGAAAATCATATTCTGTGGTCTGACTGTGGAATGAGTGCGTTAGAATTGGGCCTCCTCGGGCCCAGCAATGTGGCCTAGCAGCTAAAGTCCTCGCCTTGAATGCGCCAGGATCCCATATGGGCACCGGTTCTAATGCCGGCAGCTCCACTTTCCATCCAGCTCCCTGCTTGTGGCCTGGGAAAGCAGTCCAGGACGGCCCAAGGCTTTGGGACCCTGCACCAACGTGAAAGACCCAGAAGAGGTTCCTGGCTTCAGATCGGCATAGCATCAGCCGTTGCGCTCACTTGGGAAGTGAACCATTGGACGGAAGATCTTCCTCTCTGTCTCTCCTCCTCTCTGTATATCTGACTTTGTAATAAAAATAAATAAATCTTTAAAAAAAAGAAGAAGAAGGAGGATTGGGCCTCCTCAGATGCAATGGGCAGCATGGCCGGATGCACATGGGAAACATGACAACCCGTTTATTGAGGCCTGCAGAGGATGTCTAGTAGCCTAAAGGACAGAACAGATAGGACAGCTGGGCAAGAGGAGACCTAAGATGGACAGGTCAGCTAGCAGACCTTGGAAGGATTTCCTCAACCCTTGAACAACAAAATCAACAGCATCTCAGCACTACTGAAAGCACTTAAGCAGCACCCTTGGAACATGCTCTACATCAAGGAACCTGGGATGACATCAGGTGGCTGTCCCCAAGTCCCAGGTGCTGATGTGGTTGGTCAGCTGGGAGTGGTCCTCTTCTCTTTCTACCCACATTTCCCAGGTACAGGAAGAAAAAGGGAGATTGGAGGCAGCTGTCTCATCTACTTCCCCCATTCATCGACCCTCCCCTCCCCACCCTAATCAGCAGTTTACATGAGCATGCATCCTTCTTAACCATCAAAAGAAAAGAAACACTACTTTTAAAAAAAGAATATAAAAAAAAATTCATCTAAAATATAACTTTAAATGTTAAAATATTACATAAAATATTTTATTTTATAAATGCCTAAGCCTGTTTCTACTGCTTTAACTAGAAGAACACAAAAAGGACCAAAATGTTCAATCAAATTTACCAAAAAAGGCTATGAAGTCAGACTACCACGGTTCACATTTAAGCTGAATAACTTAATTTGAACTGTTTGACTTTGTAGTTGTGTAAGTTAACTTCTCTTCCTATGAACTTCCTCATCCACAAAACACAGGTGGAAAATGGCATACATCCCCTAAAGAATATGAAGATTAGATAGAATACATAAAGCACTTGAAACACTAGTACATGGGAAACATTTGAGAAACATAAAAACCCAGAAACCTAACCATCTTTTTAATTTTTTTTCACTATTTAAAGATTCATTTATTTGGAAGTAGTAAATGTTCTTCAAAAACCATAAATATGTCAATTATAGAAAAATTGTCATTACTTAAACATTATGCATTTTAAAAACATTTGTTCATGTATCTAATAGGCAAACAAGGACACATGGAAAGACAGAGAGGCCGTCCGTGTGCTGGCACACTCCCCAGATGGCTGCAGCAGACAGGCTCAGCCAGCCCGAAGGCAGGAGCAGGCACTCCAGCACCCAAGGGTCTAGGCTTGACACCTGCCTCTGTTTCCTCCTGCTGTAGACCTGGGAGCCAACAATGATGGCTCAAATACATGGGTCCCTGTCTCTCAAGTGAGACTCCTGTTTTGAGGTTTCAGTTCCTGGCCTTGGTCCAACCCCAGCCACTGCAGTCCTTTGGGAAATAAATGAGTGCATAAGAGCTCTCTCTTCTGAAACAAATAATTAAATAAATGTATTTTTTAAACCCTTGCCATTCATTAGTGAGAATATGAACTTTGCAAAACAAGCAAAGCTTCTGGAAATAAGCATGTGAGCCCTTTACACGTGCCAGATGCAGTTCTCATTGAGTAGGGACACAATCATGTAAGAAGGAATTAGTTCATTCCTGTCTCTGCAGAGCTTTGATTCTAGAGCATCTGCTGGCTGAACACTGGCAGCAACTGACAATGGTTCTAGATGAATCCCCAAATCCCTACTCAACTAGACTAGAACCTTTCATTGGGGCTTCCAGACACACAATTTCTTGCAATTACTTAACTGACTTACCTGAGTAAAAGTGAACCTATTCTCCAAGCTGCTTAAGTGGGTCCCCTGCTTCTGCCCTGCAGAATCCTCTATCCCTGGTACTAAGGACTGGAGAATAAAGAGTGCTTTTCTTAAGATTTATTTTTATTGTAAAGTCAGATATACAGTGAGGAGGAGAGATAGAGAGGAAGATCTTCCATTCGATGATTCACTCCCCAAGTAAATGCAATGGCCAGTGCTGTGCTGATCTGAAGCCAGGAGCCAGGAGCCTCCTCCAGGTCTCCCATGCAGGTGTAGGGTCCCAAGGCTTTGAGCCGTCCTGGACTGCTTTCCCAGGCCACAGGCAGGGAGCTGGATGGAAAGTGGAGCTGCCGGCATTAGAACCAGTGCCCATATGGGATCCTGGCAGGTTCAAAGCGAAGACTTTAGCTTTAGCCCACCGTGCCGGGCCCATAAGTGCTTTTCAAAAAGCCCTTTTCTGCCTAGCATTTACGCCACTGGTTAAGACAATCATGTTCCACACTGGAGTGCCCGGGTTCAATTACTGGCAGACCTTGGGAGACAGTGGCAATGGCTCAAGCAAGTTGCCACCCACATGGGAAAACTGAATTGAGTTCCTAGCTCCCAGAATCAGGTTGGCCCACCCCAGCCTTTGCAGGCATTTGGATAGGGAAAGGGCTAGCAGGAGTTCTCCATGCTTCTCAAATAACTTAAACATGTTTAACTAAAACATAACAACAATAATAAAGCACTCTCTTCATTGCTAATAAGCCCACAGGAGTGTGGACAAACTTGAGCTTCACTCTATTCTGCCATGCCAAATGAAAACTTAGAAGAAGATACTTTGGGAGTATTATCTTGGGGTCACCAGGGTACAGCTTGTCTGATAATAAAGCAAAATGGTAGAAGGAAGTAAAGCCAGACCAAGAACCAAAGAGAAAGCCACTGCCAGTAACAACGTCTGGACGTCTTCCAAACTTGCCAGACAAGAGACCAGCTGTGCCAGCAGACTTTTCCATTAATATAAACCAAATATATCACCTGCCAATTGGGGCTGGGTGCTCTGTCACCTGTGACAACAACAAAATTCTAAGTGATGGAGTGGCCAGGTGTTGGGCAGAGCAAATTCTGCTGCTTGTGATGCCAGCACCCCCTTGCAGAGAGTCAGCTGCAGGCCTGGCTACTCCATACACTTCCAACCCAGCTCCTTGCTATGCACCTAAGCAGCGGAGGAGGATGGCTCCAGTATCAAGCTTCTCCACCCACCATCCCAGCTGCTGCAGCCATTTGGGCAATCAATCAGCAGACAGTAAATTTCTCTGTCTCTGTGACTCGTCTTTTCAAATAATTAAACAAATGAATCTTACCACAGTGGGGAAAAAAACTCAAAATCCATCAAAACCACTATTGAACATTATATAGCCAAATCACAGCATATGCTTATGTTGGGGGCAGAATAAAAATAAAGTTCTTACCATACGTGCAAAACATGCAGTAAGGATTCCACTTCCAGATCCCACATCAAGAGCTTTAGCTCCTTCATGTAGCTGGTCAAATAGAAGTTCCAGTGCGTACGCGTGCTGCCCAAAGAACAGAAACCATATACATACCATGGTATATAACTAAATTCACCAACTTTCTCCCAATATTTTTCCATTGTCAGCTAAACAGTGAAAGCATGTTACATATGCATATATATGTATATTATTTACATCTATAAATTAATTATATAAGAAAAAATTTAGGATAAAATTCTCAGTAATTTTAGACGTTATATGTGGAATTTTAAAGTTGAGTTAAAATTCATACAAAAGGATCTGCAGTCAAAACCCCAATCTATTCCAATCCCTAGTCCAGTTTCACTTCCTACTCAGGCAACCAAAGTTACCAGTTTCTTCTGGCTCCTTCTAAAACATTCCTTCTATGCAGGTATGAGCAAATACATATGCATGCGTAACATATTATACTTTGAAAGACCTTTTATATCAATACTTGCTTATTCATTTGTTTTTATGCCTGAGGAATATATCCTCACATGGATATATTATAATGACAAATATCACTAATAAGAGGTTTTTAAGTAAGCTGTAAGTCTACAACAAAAAGAACTGAAATAATCTTATCAGGTATATTTGTATGACAAAAATATAATCCTTATAAAAATCTTATACATTATATCTGTATAATAAATTCAAAAATTTGAACTGAAAGAGCCAAGGAATACACATTTCATGTTTATAGCCTGTATAAATTATAAACAAATCACAGTTTATGCTTTGAATCAAACTAAGAAATAAAGACTTCCCTACTCCATCCTCTTTATAAACTTAAATTTTAGCATTTCTCTAAAATACAAGATTGAAACTAACAAATAACATCTCAAAAGCGATCCTTACATGTCTAATATTTTCACTATTAAAATCATCAAATCTAGGGGCTGGCACAGTGGCTCAGCAAACTAGTCATCCGCCTACAATGCAGGCATCCGTATGTGTAAAGTTCAAGCTCCCGCTGCTTAACTTTCAATCCAGCTCCCTGCCTATAATGTGGGAAAGCAAAATAGGATGGCTCAGGCCCTTGTACCCAAATGGGAGACCCAGAAGAAGCTCTTGGCTCCTGGCTTTGGATCAGCTCAGCTCTGCCCATTACAGCCATTAGGAAAGTAAGCTAGCAAATAGAAGATCTCTTTATATACGTATCTTTTTTGTTTGCTCTCTCTAAAATGCCTCTCAAATAAAAATGAATAATTTTTATACAAATCTGTATCTTTTTCTCTCCTTATGTAAACCTACCTTTCCAATAAAAATAAATCTTAAGAGAGAAAAAAAAAAAGAGGGGAAGGGGGGACGGCATGGTAGCCTTAACAGCTGAAATCTTCACCTTGCATGTGCTGGGATCCCATATGGGCGCCAGCTCTAATCCCAATGGCCCCAGTTCCCATCCAGCTGCCTGCTTGTGGCCTGGGAAAGCAGTCAAGGACAGCCTAAAAACTTGAGACCTTGCACCCATGTGGGAGACCTGAAAAAAGTTCCTGGCTTCTGGCTTCAGATCAGCTCAGTTCTGGCCACTGCAGACACTTGGGAGTAAATCAGCAGATGAAAGATCTTTCTATCTCTCCTCTCTGTATATCTGACTTTACAATTTTTAAAATGATTTAAATAAAAAATAAATATTAAAATAAAAACATAAATAATAATAAATTTTTTTAAATAAAAAAAATTTTAAGGGGGTGAGTGGGTATGAGAGCATTGGAAAACCAACATGATGGCTGAGTAGCTAAATCCTTGCTTAGCAAGTACACAGATCCCATATGGATGCTGATTCATGTCCTGGCTGGCTGCCCTACTTCCCATACAGCTCCCTACGTGTAGCCTGGGAGAACAGTAGAGGCAGGCCCAAAGCCTTAGTACCCTACACCCACGTGGGAGACCCAGAAGAAGCCCCTGACTCCTGACTTCAGTTCTGTTTGGTTCCAGCCCTTGTAGCCACTTAAGGAATGAACCAACACTTGGAAGATCTTTCTGTCTCTCCTCTCTGTAAATCTGCCTTTTGGATAGAAATAAATACATCTTTTTAAAAAAACCAACAAATTGGGGCCCAGCACACTAGCCTAGTGGCTTGCTTTGCACACACTGGGATCCCATATGGGCACCGGTTCGTGTCCTGGAAGCCCTGCTTCCCAGCCAGTTCCCTGCTTGTGACCTGGGAAAGCAGTCAAGGATGGCCCAAAGCCTTGGGACCCTGTACATGGATGGGAGACCAGAAGAAAGCTCCTGGCTCCCGAAATCAGATTGACTCAGTTCCAGCCATTTTGGTCACTTGGGAAGCAGACAGAAGATCTTCCTCTGTCTCTTCCTCTCTATATATCTGACTTTCCAATAAAAATAAATAAATCTTTAAAAAAAGTTTTGAATCTAGTAGCAACACATTTTCTACCAGATCTAAGCTAACAAAAATATGTATCTATGAATCCACAGTGATAAACGCTTCATGGCCAGATGACAACAGAGGGACATTATTCCCAATTTACATGCTAAAAAAATACTGAACTTAAGAAAACTGTCTTTGGATAGCCATTACAGAAGTAACTGATTCAGGCAAAAACTATAAACAAATGCTGAAAACTAATGGATAGCACTTGATAGTTACATAACCACAAAGATACTAATGAAGACATGTAGCTTCACAATAGAATTCAAAGAAGCTTCTCCGTGGTGTTGACAGCATCTTAACCTGACGTTCAAGGTTAACATCACCACTAAAGGGACATGTCTGCCGGGCATCACTTGTGGGGTAATAATAATTCCAGACAAACATACCATTCAAATTGTGCAGGAAACATCAAATCCAAATAGAGAGGCATTATTTAAAACAACTTTCATAAAAACGTTAGGGCCAAAAAAGACAAGACTGAGGAACTGTTATTCAATCTTTCTGTAATGGAAACATGTTTAGAACAATTAATAAAATATAGATAAAGTTTGTAAATTGACTAACAGTGTTGTATGCATGTTAATTCTGAGATTTTTCGAAATATACTTCAGTCAGGTAAGAGAATGTCCTAAAATGCAAACTTAAAGAGCATCATTTTAAATATTTTAACTCTCTACTTTTACAGGTAAACAGCCTAAACATTGTTTTCAAAGATCTCAGAAAAAAAAAAAAACACATACTACATACACTTACACACACATATAAATGAGGAGGAGCTGAAAATAACAGAGAATAAATGATAAAACAAATATACAACACTCTCTGGAGAACACAGTTAATGAACACATGAAAACCGCACTACTCTTATGACCATTCCTGAAAGTACGTATTTTTAATTTTATCATCAGAAACCAGCAATGTCAAATGAAGGCATGGGAATTCTCTACTGTGCAAAACTAATCTAGGTCATAGAAGTCAGAATGCTGGCTACCCTGGGCGGGGGCCAACTAGCAAAGGCGAGGCGTGAACCTTCTGCAGCACTTTCTTCCACAAAGTACCTGATCTGAGCACTGGTTATACATATGCCCATGCTTTTAATTCCTGACATTTGAATATTTGTGTGCTTTCCTGTATATATATCACAACAACAAAACTTTTTTAATTTTTAAAACTTCTATTTGAAAGGCAGAGCAACAGAGAAAGAGAGATTTTCCCATCTATTGGCGCACTCCCCAAAAGCCCAGGGCCAGGCTGGAGTCAGGAGCCAGGAATTCCATCTGGATCTCCCATCTCGGGGACAGGGACCCAAGTACTTTAGCTTTGGTCACTGCCTTCTGTCTTCCAGGTGCACATTAACAGGATGCTGGAATCAGAAGTAAAGCCAAGACTTAAACTTAGACACTCCAAAATGGGATGAAACATCTCAGTGTCTCCAGTAAAATCTATTACTTAAACTACTTGCTTACATTTATCAGCCTGAAAGTCAAAGAAATAAAAAGAGACTTCCTTTCCATCCATTCACTCAACAGTAAAGGCTGGGTCAGCCAGAGAGTTCAAATGGGTCTCCCACATGGGTGGCAGGAATTCAGCTCTCGAGCCATCGCCTGCTGCCTGCCAAGGCGTACCTTAGCAGGAAGCTAGCTTGCAATATGACGGGTACTCAGATGTCCAACACGGGACTGAAGCAGTCCGTACAGTGACTGAAGCACTATGCCAAAGGCCCAACTCACCGAGCACTGTCTTAATCACTGTACCAGATGCTCATCCCCCAATGTTTAGAGGCTATTTTAACCTCTAAAATTTCTATGTATTACATAACCTGTGAGGTGAAGCAGCAAGACCTTGCTGTTAGGAACTGTTTTATTTGAGAAAAAAAAATGTTTCTTCAGGAACAAATTCAACATCAAAACACTCACATTCGGAATATAGAAAATTCTACGGGACAGATGGTTTTTGTCAATAATTAAAGACCCTATAAAATGAGGAATCTGGGCCCGGCGCAATTGGTTAAAGGTCCTCGCCTTGCACGCCCGGGATCCCATATGGGCGCCGGTTCTAATCCCGGCAGCCCCGCTTCCCTTCCAGCTCCCTGCCTGTGGCCTGGGAAAGCAGTTGAGGACGGCCCAAAGCTTTGGGAACCTGCACCCGCGTGGGAGACCCGGAAGAGGCTCCTGGCTTCGGATCGGCATAGTATCGGCCCGTTGCGCTCACTTGGGGAGTGAATCATCGGACGGAAGATCTTCCTCTCTGTCTCTCCTCTCTGTATATCCGCCTTTCCAATGAAAAAATAATAAAAATAAATCTTTAAAAAAAAAATGAGGAATCTATTAGAATTAAAAGCTTATGATATTGATTTAAGCAAATTAAGAATTGTTAAAAGGGGCGGGGATTTACCCCAATGGTTAAGAAGGCACTTGGGATGCCAGCACATCATATTAGAGTGCTTGGGTTCAAGACCTGGCTCCGTCCCTAACTGTAACTTCCTGCTAAGGAGTAACCTGAAAGGCAGCAGATAATGGGAATTCGCTACCCCTAAGGGAGACCTAGACAGGGTTCCTGGCTTCAGGAGTCGGCCTGGCTCAGCTGCCACAGGTATTTGGGAAATGAGCTAGAGAATTGGAAATTTCTGTTTCTCTCTCTCTGACTC